GTTTGGTGTTGTTGAGGCATTACGTGTTGTCGCTGCGCAAGCGTTTTGGTGGGGAGAGTGCGCCGCTCGCTTGGGTGCGCCGCTCGCTTGTGAAGCACGTTATACTAGATAATTGTCTGCTCCTCTAGTATAGTAAGTTTCTAGCAATTAGTGCATATGTCTAGTTAAAACGTGATATTGCAAAGGCAATTAGAGACCCGCTAATAAGGTACGTTCAACGCTCTAGCAGCGCTGTAGATACTGCGAAATTAGCTAGCATAGAAGGCCTAGATAGCAAGGATAACTCTACCTTCTCTAGTAGTATTCTAAAGTTGTTGTTGTTGAGGCATGTTGTGTTAGGGTAAAAGGTGGTCGTGCCAAGAGAAAGTGGCTGGTTCGGTGATATGGCCGGCTCGGTGATAATCTACGTTATCCAAAACACCCTTCTCAGAGGCAAAAATAAAGGTCTAATAGATGCTCTTACTACCAAGAGGAAGCGAGAGGAGCAAGGCAAGTCTCTAGCTTTGGTACAACACTACGAGTAATGGGGACCGTATATAATATAGCCTCCTCGCTCGTTCCAGGAAGCGCGCACACGGATGAGGATAGCAAAGCGTGAGGCAGAGGAGGAGGAGCTTCAAAAGGAAGAGGCAAGAAAGTCAAAGGCTGCTGCTACAGCTTATAAAAAGCAAATCGCAGAAGAGAAGCGCCAGAAGGCAGCAAGAGAGAAGGAAGAGCGAGAGAGGAAGCGTGAAGAAGAGCGCCAAGCTACTGATGCGCGCAAAGCCGAGAGAGCACATAAGAAACAGTTGCGCGACTCTTAAAACAGATCTCAGGCTGCCCAAAGAAGCAAGCACAAGGTATCACAGCAACAAGGAGTCAAAAAGAGGCAGAAACGTGGTTCTGCAGCTGTGCAAAGTGATAGTGTTGCTTATAAGCCACCCTTAGCACCTACACCCACAGTGAATAGCCGCAGCTGTAGAATACTTCAGCTACGTAAGTTTTGGTAGCAGATCGTGTCGCGCAGGTCTACAGATCACTCCACTAGGAAATCTAGTTATCACAGCTATATGTGGCTCTACAGCCTCAAGTTTGCCGGTGATGGTCAGGGCCGATTCCGCGCGTTGGCCGACGGCGCGCGTTGGGTGCACGGGCACGGTATACCGGTAGGCACTCAGCGTTTTGGCTGTTGGCAACGTTGGCGCAAAATTGAGGCCGTTGGGCGCAAATTGGGGCCATTGGGGCCGTTGAGCGGCCGTTGCACGACCATGCCACGACTGTCAGCAACGGCCAGTCCGGGCCGGATTTCAAAAACTTTTCCGATGTGGTTAAGCTACAGCGGTACTAGCAAACGAACCTTTTTATTACAGAAGAGCACAAGTTACACTGTCCTAAGAGGATCTTGGAGAGATAAGCTTGCACACATATTGCTAGTTATCGGGATAGCAATGCTTACACACAGTAAGAACAAACATTGGATAATTAAAGAAAGGAACATTTACATGAGGCCCTGCTCACGAATGCCAAACGCTAATTTACCAAAGTCATAACAGGTGACCCGTCAGGCTACAACCCTCCAAATCTGCGAAATGTACAGGATAAACGTAAGCCGCGATCATCCGAACCTTTGACCCTGTCTAGACTACCTTCATTCCTCAACCAATTTATCCTTCACCTTGATTTCTGGCAGAGACCGCATCAAGCTGTCATGTCCCGTACTCTGCTTGTGGAGCGATGCTGAGCTTCGTTTTGTTCGGATCTTCATGCTTCTGACACTTGGGGACGGACTTGGTACAGGACTGGCTCTGGGAGTCATTTGAGGCGACGAGACCTTCGAAGCGGACATTTGTTCAAACCTGCCAGCAAGATGTTTCACTCGGCTAGGCGATCCATTTTTGTCCGCCCTCAGGAAGTCATCGCCCTCTCGCGAGCTTTCACGAGGTAGTGAGAGAATGCTTGATCCGTCAGGATCGGCATTGACCACGCGGAGTTTCGATTTGGGCACCGTGAACATGACTTGAACGACGCGGCGTTCAACAGCGGCTTCGACATCCCAGTCTCCTTCATCAGCGGGAGTACAGGGCCGTTGCTCTACGCTTGGTACACCCAGTCGGTTGGGTGCTATTGGCGTGCGTGGTGTAGGTAGGTCATCGTCTGATGTAAGATTGACCAGCAAGTTGCATCTTTCCCGCCACTCTTGTCGTAGTCGATCTTTCTCAGCGCGCGCGATGTCTTCCGGAGCGCCCCAATCGTCGCCGCTATTGCGTGTCCACTGGCCTTCCACCTCTTCTTCCCAGTCTTGTTTCCCTCGTCTGCTCTTCCAAAAGGTAGCATCTGAGGCAGCCCGTCGAGGTGGCTGATTTATTGGGAAAGGTTTCCGATTGTCAAATGTGGAAGGCTCAATTGGCGAGCCAGGTTTGTCTGTGTAGGGTTCGTGATATGACACTGTATTTGTGAGAGATCGAGTTCGGTCGGCGCCAGAGACTGATCGGCGTAGCACTCGGCGTACACTGCCCAGCCAACTCTTCCTTGCGTCTCTACTCTCTGGTCGTGACATGTCCAAGATATAGGTAGTTGCCGGCGTAGCGGTCATCGCACGGCTGTGATTCGTCTCTGTGTCGCCGAATGTGTGCGAGTTTGACCCGTTTGACGTTGACGAGGTTCTGGGACGCATTTGCTCCGGATTGCCACCAAGAAGTGCCTCACCTTCGGCTTGAAGGTGTGTAAACGACGAGTGTGCAGTTCTGAACGTCTCGTTGTCTTGCTGGCCGCTACTTTGCATACTACTGATTGACTGGGTTTGTGGATCGGTAGCCGTTTTCCGACTACTTTCACTGTACCCACGTGGTCGACCGTGGGTAGGACTAGAATCAGGAGATCGAAATGGGTTTGCTTGGGTTGTTGTCATCATGGTGTTGAGTTTAGTGACACGCAGAGATGCACTTCTAACAAGACTACCATGCGATGAAGTCCACGACAGTTCAGATCGCGCACTTCTCTCGCTAAGATTGGAGTTCGTGCGCTCATCTGATGATACTTTGTCAGGAGAGACACAGCCAGTAGAAACAGTATTTGAACGACGATTTGCAGTTGCGCCAGTTCCGGACCATTCAGTCAGTAACTGTTCGTGTTCTTTGGTATTATCTTGGACCGGAGAGGAAGACGCTGAGCGGGAGGTAGTCTTCTTGGCCCCGCTCGGGCATTGTTCGTCAAAGAAAGGGCCAAGCTGTGGGACATTGTCGAGCACTGACGAGGATAGTTCAACTTTGCGTTCAGCCGTCGCATGTTGTTCGGTGAGGGGAGTTCTATCATTAATCTTCTCGACTTCATCATCATCTTCTTCTTCCAGTTCGTCAATGGGGTGGATCGGGCCAGGACCCCGTACTGCACCTGATGCATATGCGGGTCTTCCACTCAGGCTGCGCCGCAATCCTCGTGTAGGACTAGGGATCTCGAGGAGAAGGCCCGTCCTTTCAGCATCTTGTCCGTGGGCACTCTTCCAGCCTTGGCCGCCCTGATGACCGGGTGGGAAGTAATACGATCCATTGTGATCAGCAAGGTGCTCCACTTCGTCTCCATGTCCGCCTTGTCCGTCGAATCCAGGTGAGTAATCATCGATATTGTACCTGTGAGCTGCGAACGAGAGATCCTGCAGCTGCTTCTCCCGCAAACCGCGCTGTTTCTTCAGCCGCCTCGTGTACCACATATAGAAGGCAAACAGGCCACAAACAGCAGCAAGCCCTATTCCTATCCCAGCGCCAAGGCCAGCTTTCTGACTAGAGCTGGATAAGGGGCCTGCATTTTCGGGATCAGAGGTCGAGAGTGTGGTCGGTAACGCATAATCAGTCATCCAGGTATTGGAAGTGACGTTGAGGAAGTACGCCTGAGAATTCACGGCAGTAGTGGCCCTTCGTCGTCGCGTTCCGGAGGTCACGATACTGTAGCCGCCAGTCACCATCATTACACCACCAGGCAGCATAACTGCACCGTGACCGTAGAGGCTAGAGCCGCTGGCGGGACCTTTGCCCGAAGTAGCGTTCGGTATGACCCATTCCCACTTGCCGGTGCCGCCGTACCCATTGGCAATGTTGAGAATGGCCAATTGAGGCTCTGCTGGGGAGCTGGTATCGCCAACCCAGCCGCCATAGACAATGATCTGTTCCCCGTCTGGTGACAACACGGCCGTGTGGCCTGAGCGTGGGTCAACAGTGGTGACATCGCGTGTTGCTAGATCGGTTTGTAACGTGTCGGGCTGTTGGACGCCAATAAAGGTCCAACCCTGTTCCGGTAGGGAGAATAGGGCGATTTGAGACATGTTGATAAAAGCTGCGCTGGTGTGCCCGCCTATGAGTACAAAATTTCGTTGCTGAGTCTGCAATCCATCGCTACGATTTAAGTATGTGGGGGATAATCCAGTCATTGTGAACCCTGCTTCTGGTATCGGTGGGCCTCGACTGGAGGAGACGTCCATCTCGTAAGTGATGGCACTGTCTTTGGTGCTGGACGGCGACAGCGTGACCATGAGGTTCGAGTAATTCGCAGCCGACTGCCAGTCATTCGAACTTTCTCCACTGTTTGGACACATGCCACCGAAGAAGTAAGCCCCAGTGTTGGTAGCATCTCCTCCAACGATGCTAGAGAATGAGATACCATTGCTTAAGTAGTTCGCGCCTGTCGTAGCGTCTTTCTTATCACTGGCGACCGACATGTCCTGCTGGGACCATTTGCCTGCTTTGTTCCCAGAAGCCAAGGTGAAGCTCCAGACTTCACCTCCAGTTGCGCCGTGTGAGCAGTCGCCCGTGTACACGGTCAGGTTTCCGCCATCATCAAGTACAGGAGTGAACGCACGAGAAGCTTTGTCGTCCAGAAATGGCAGGGTTGAATGAAGAATCGTATACGGTAAGCTGCGAGCAGCGATCTTGCGTGAGACATCGATGGAACCTAGCTGGAACTGGGCGGACGATTGGGACGAAGGCTGGAACACGTAGACATGGTCGCCATTAAGGAGGAGTCGAGTCGGATTGTACGGCATCTGAGCAACAGCAGCAGACAGTAGAAGGGGGACATGCAGCAAAGCGGACCACGGGAGACGGGTTACAGACAGCGTCATAGTCGCGCGCATTGGATAGTGTTGACTTGGACGTCTTACTGAGGACGTTCACCTCGACTGCTGTTTGCGGCGCCTCATGGACGACGCTGTGGGGTAGGACGAAGTTGCGTAGTACAGAATGTTTGACGATAGTGCTGGCCGTTGTAGCAGATGGGAGCTGAGGGGTATGCTCAGATCCGCAGTTCATGCACTAAGATGGCTGGTAACATGGGCCGAAAACAAATGGCCAGGTCTCCCAGCCCTGCTTGCGCAACGCGCTACCGTGGCGCCTGATTTCCACTCAACGGTCAACGGCCATCAGCCGTCCAATCAAGGCATGTCATGGTGCCGGAGCAGGAAACTCCTGGAATGAGGGTTGGTCTTGGCGCGGGCGATGCCTTGGAAAACACCCATCGCCCTAGCAACCAGGCGATTGTGGCGTGCGCGCTCAGCAACATGTGAACGATCGCGAAGCCCTGATAAACGGTCCGGACGCGAGCAGGTTATCCCAAGCATTAAGCTCGAGATGTGCTCCCAGGCCTCGGTGGTCTATATTGTCTTCAGGTGCTCGGATGTTAACGATATAATAACGGAGGAGGCTGGGAGGTTACCGGCACAAAATTGGTGGGGTGACAGCATCAACGCACGCGCGCGCGAGAACAAGAAAACAATTGAGAACTGCGTGTACCATCAGTTCCCCATGAAATAGGCTTCGTGCATATGCAATTGTAATGGTCCATGGAAATCGCTCTTGAACACTGTTATTTCATCCGGCTTACGATGCAGGAAGGTAAGACAGCCTCTTGCATAGCAGGTGAACTGACTGCAGGTCTTGGCTGCTCAAGAGACACAAACTATAAAAGAGAGCTTCTGAAGTCTGCCATGATTTGGTCCTTGCAGACGGACCGCGCGCTTTGCAGATTTGGAGGTCGATCACATCAAACCTGTCCAAGCTCTTCGCCAAATAGGCGAGCAAACCAAGGGATGATTTTACGTCCTGATTTCCATACCCGGAAGTCGCCTGCTACGTTCAAACGCTAAACTTCATGCCACCGTTCGCACAAATGACGCTACCAGTCGTCCATCCAGCCTCGGGCAAGCACAGCATACCCACTATGCCAGCAACTTCCTTACTATATGCCGGCCGTCCTCCAGCCCCTTGTGACGCGTTATAGATCCTCTCTTCATCGATGCCTTTCCTTGGTGCCGCCAGGGGAGTAGTTTCGATGAATGGCCTGTTTGCCTCGATGAACTTCTCGTCATTACTCCAATACATATCGGTCGCAACAGGCCCAGGGTTGACAGCGTTGACGGTGGCGCGCTCGGCCAACTCACGAGCCCAAGTCCTTGTCATCGCCTCAAGGGCAGCCTTGGAACCTCCATAGATCGACTGACCCTTGTATCCCAATGAAGCACTGACTGATGACAGACTGACAATGCGGCCGGAGCGGTCATTCGGCAGGTAGGGTATCGCGGCTTGCAAGAGCAGCAGCGGGCCTCGTACGTTGACGTTAAATTGTCTCGCGAAGTCTGCCGCATCCACGTGCTCGACATAGTTGTTGCCGGCCACACCAGCGTTGTTGATGATGATATCCAGCTGGAACTTGCCAGTCTTTGGATGCTTGAAGTTGTTCACAGCGACCTCGACAATGTGCTTAGGCCCGGTCTCTGAGCCCATGTTGGCTTGTACGACAATAGCTTTGATGCCATATTCGGCTTGTAGCTCGCTGGCGAGGTCTTCGGCGGCCTGTTCGGAGGAATTGGAGGTGTAGTTGAGAACAAGGTTGGCGCCTTTACTGGCCAAGTTGCGAGCAACTTCAACACCGATACCTGGACAAGTCAACTAGAGGTCTAGATGCTCTGCGGAGGGGCTTATCTGACCTCTTGAGGCTCCTGTCACAAGCGCGATCTTGCCTTCCAGAGCACGCTGGCTGGAGCCAACTAGGTTTGTTGAAGCAGTTCGAATGTGCTGAGGCCTGGACATGGTTGTATGCGGTATGGTTTTACGGCGAATACCTGACGTTAGGCTGAATCGATTGGCATTCTGTATCGAGGGCGGGGCTATTGTAGCTCTTATAGCAATGCGGGGAGCTACTGTGGAGCATCACGAAGCTCTCCGGACGGGCTTTTGCCGTTGCATCGTCGCTCTCATCGCCGAGGACTCGACACGAGACTACAAAATTCAGTGGAGCTAACCTGACGGAGTAACACACGAGAGCGACTGGACTGCCAGGCTATGAAGGCTGGTGTTCAGCCTCACGATGCTCTGCTAGTGCCTCAACGGAGTTCGTCATGATCAACAGGGGTCCATTGGGGTGGCGGAATACAAAGTCAGTGGCTAGCTGCACTCACACACGCGCTGTCTCAGGTACCAAGTCTGAAAAGCTACGGTGCCGCTCGTGCGTTTGACTGAGTAATAGAGCTTAGCTATCTGGCCGAGCGCGCGCGTGCGCGCGCAAGGATCACCAAATGCATCTGAAGCTCGACATTGCACAAAAAAGTTCAATGCGCAATTCCTCCGGTTTCGGCCAACCTTCAAAGTGGGGAGAGTTGGAGTGGCGGGAGTTCGATCTTTTGCGTGGTGAGGCGGGGAGTCAGGAATGTCGAGACAGCTTCATCACGACAAATGGCAACTGCTACAATGCTTCTCAGTATGAGTGCACTCGCCATATGGGCACGCGAGGCGAAAGCAATTCGGGGGGGAAACCGCCGCCGAGGAGGATCATCACGTCTTCCACTATTCTAGCGCGTCGTGGGCGGTGAACCAAAGTGACTAGACCACCCCGCCATGCAAGCAGAAAAGAGTTCTTAAGCACACCATCGCCCTCTTTCATTGTCCCTCACCCGCTCATACTCTCTCACTCTCCCATTGTAGTTTGAGAGTTTTGGACTTCTTTTCTTCAAACTCTTTTGTTCAATTGCTCAAGAGCCACACATCGCAATGGTTCACTCATCCGTTCTTGGTTTCCCCCGCATGGGTGCGGACCGCGAGCTCAAGAAGGCAAACGAGGCCTACTGGGCTGGCAAGCTCTCACAGGAGGACCTCGTCAAGGAGGCCAGCCGCCTGAGGTTGGAGCACTGGAAGATACAGAAGGACGCCGGTGTCGATATCATCCCCAGCAACGACTTCGCTTTCTACGACCACCTCCTCGACCACATTCAGCTGTTCAATGTAAGCCAATGATCACTTTACACCGACAGGATCTTGCTAACAGTAACAGGCTGTTCCAGAGCGTTACTCCAGCGCTAAGCTGTCCCCACTCGATGAGTACTTCGCCATGGGCCGTGGTCACCAGAAGGATGGTGTCGATGTTCCCAGTCTGGTAAGTGGAACGAAATCTTAAGCAATTAACATTCCGACTAATGCACCACAGGAAATGGTCAAGTGGTTCGACTCCAACTACCACTACGTCAAGCCCACCTTCCAGGATGGCCAGGAATTCAAGCTCGCTTCCAACCCCAAGCCCGTTCGCGACTTCAAGGAGGCCAAGGAGGCTGGCATCACCACCCGCCCCGTCCTTGTTGGTCCCGTCTCCTTCCTTGCTCTTGGTAAGGCCGACCGCAACCAGTCCGTCGACCCCATCTCTCTGCTCGAGAAGCTTTTGCCCGTATACGTTGAGCTCCTTCAGCAGCTGAAGGAGGCTGGTGCCGAGTACGTTCAGATCGACGAGCCTGTCCTCGTCTTCGATCTTGAGCAGAAGGTCAAGGATGCCTTCAAGCCTGCCTATGAGAAGCTCACTGGCAGCGGTCTGCCCAAGCTTGTCCTTGCCACATACTTTGGTGACATTGTCCACAACCTCGATGTCTTCCCCAGCATTCAGAACGTTGCTGCTGTCCACATCGACCTTGTCAGGAACCCCGAGCAGCTCGAGACCGTGGCCAGCAAGCTCGGCTCCAGCCAGGCTCTTTCCGTCGGTGTCGTTGACGGCCGTAACATCTGGAAGACCAACTTCAAGAACGCCATCGAGATCGTCGAGTCGGCTGTTCAGAAGCTCGGCAAGGACCGCGTCATCGTTGCCACCTCCAGCTCTCTTCTCCACACACCACACTCCCTCGACAGCGAGAAGAAGCTTGACGAGGAGGTCCGTGACTGGTTCTCTTTCGCCGTCCAGAAGGTTGCTGAGGTTGTCGTCATTGCCAAGGCCGTGACTGAGGGCCCTGCCTCCGTTCGTGAGGCCCTTGAGGCCAACGCCAAGTCCATGCAGGCTCGCGCTACCTCCAAGCGCACCAACGTTCAGGCTGTCAAGGACCGTCAGGCTAGCGTCACACCGGAGCAGCACGAGCGCAAGTCTGAGTTCCCTTCGCGTTATGCCCAGCAGAAGGAACACCTCCACCTGCCTCTCTTCCCCACCACCACCATCGGTTCTTTCCCTCAGACCAAAGAGATCCGTATCCAGCGTAACAAGTTCACCAAGGGTGAGATCACACCTGAGGAATACGAGAGGTTCATCGAGAAGGAGATCGAGGAGACCATTAAGATCCAGGATGAGCTTGACCTTGACGTGTACGTCCACGGCGAGCCCGAGCGTAACGACATGGTTCAGTACTTTGGTGAGCGTCTCGACGGCTATGCCTTCACCACCAAGGGTTGGGTCCAGTCGTACGGATCCCGCTGCGTCCGTCCCCCGATTATTGTCGGTGATATCTCCCGCCCCGCCCCTATGACTGTCAAGGAGTCGAAGTACGCTGCTTCCGTCTCCAAGAAGCCTATGAAGGGTATGCTCACAGGTCCCATCACCTGCTTGCGATGGTCTTTCCCTCGTGACGACGTTCACCAGTCTGTTCAGGCTCAGCAGCTCGCTCTCGCTCTCCGCGACGAGGTTGTTGACCTTGAAGCTGCTGGCATCTATGTCATTCAGGTCGACGAGCCTGCTCTTCGTGAGGGTCTTCCTCTCCGCAAGGGTATCGAGCGCGAGAAGTACCTGTCCTGGGCCGTCGACTCCTTCAAGCTCTCTTGCGCTGGTGTCAAGGATTCCACCCAGATTCACTCTCACTTCTGCTACTCCGAGTTCCAGGACTTCTTCCATGCCATCGCCGCGCTCGACGCTGACGTTCTCTCCATCGAGAACAGCAAGAGCGACGCCAAGCTCCTCAAGGTCTTCGAGGACAAGGAGTACCCCCGCCACATCGGTCCTGGTGTCTACGACATCCACTCTCCTCGTGTTCCCTCCGAGCAGGAGATCAAGGACCGCGTCGCCGACATGCTAAAGTACCTCAAGCCTGAGCAGCTCTGGATCAACCCTGACTGCGGTCTCAAGACCCGTCAGTGGAAGGAGACCAAGGCCGCCTTGATCAACATGGTCAACGCCGCCAAGTACAACCGCGAGAAGTACTCTTCTTAAATATTTGCCATTTGGCGACTTTGACTGTGTTTCATCAACGCAGTCGCTTCGAGTAGCATATCAACATGCTGCTGTGTAATGTGTGTAATGACGTTTCTATGATACCCAAAAGTTCAACCTGCATTCTGGGTCGTTACGGTAGTTTCAAAGGGAGATCTCTCTGGGGAGATGAACGATCTCAACATCGGCGTTCATCGATAGCAGCAGGCTCGGTGCATGCTGAAAGGCGTTTTGTTTCAATATTTGGGGACGTGTCCGGTCCTTGAGACTGACAGATGCCTGCAAGTAGATAGACTGCTCATCATTGAGAGATGCGCGCACGCGGAGGTTTAAGAATGTCAATCCATTCAGCTTCCAATACACTTTACTCGAGCCCAACAAACTCCCTGGAGTTCTTAATGATTGCCTATTCATTGATCAAACTGATTGTGGTAGCTACCTTAAGGCGGAGTGAAAGCAGCCGGAGAAGCGTATTAGGCCACGTAGACCGCTACAACCGTCACAAGTAACACCGCTGGCCACACCCATGACAACCACACAATCAAGATGTTCAACGTGCGCTCGATCATCCTGCTGGTCATATCCTACGTCGTAATACCGCGCCTTACGTTTCTGCCGCAGAATGTACACTCGCTGCTCATATTGTTCGGGCCCTTTGTCCTTCCGCGCCTCGTGGACTGGATCAACGTCGCTCGCGCAACCTCTCGAAGCGTGCCCGTACGATCAACTCCACCGCGAGTGAAGAATGGGCTCAACCTCCTCTTCTTCGCCGCCATTGCCTGCCTGGCTCTGTCCCTGTCGCGCTTTGCGCCCGAGAACATATTCGTCGCGACGCAAAGCCACATCCGCACCGAGACCAGCGTATTATTCGCCCGGCTGCGACACCTTCGACCGCTGACCGAGAACGACCTTACATTATGGTCGAAGTTCAAAGTTAATGCGCGCAACAAGCTTTACTATCTGGCGTACGGCCCAGACACTCTGCTAAACTGCGCATGGTGCGTTACGGCGGACGGCAACGATGCCAGCAACTATCTCCTGTACAACCTGCCCAAGATTGTCACCCCGCACATCTTCCAGCTGGCTGTCTTGGGGCTGGCTACATCTTCGTTGGTAGGCACCGAAGGCTCGAGATTCCGTACGCACGCGACTATCTTAGGGCTCGCGACGCTGATTGTGGAGATATGGTTCATGGCGACGTACGACATCACGGTCAACAGGCGAGCGGAGTTTGTGCAAGACATCGATTCGGTACATTGGCGCGTCACGTTCCTCCGGTATATATTCTTCGCAGTGCAGGATATTGGAATGGCGTTCGTACTTTGGGCTACGAGCACGAATCGATGGCTCGCGAAGCCAGTCTCGATTGCGGAGCGCTTGGAGATGGCAACGCGTGTCTCTGAGGAGACCTTGAATAAGCTTCGTGGTCTTGGACTTATCACAAACTCGATTAACCGCGATCCTGCGCTTCGAGGTGTCCGCGAGGATTACTGGAGGCAGGAAGGTCAAGTCATGTCGGAGACCGTGCAGGAGGAAGCAGTCATGGAGCAGATCAATGCTGCCATCAGCAAGATGGACTTCAATGCGTTACAAGGACGGGTAGGAGAGGTTGCAGATGGCATTCTCAAAGGTATCGACAATCTCCGACAGCCTGGTCAGATGGGTGAGGTACTGTCGTAATGCTTTGGGTGTCGTTTAAGGACATCGGTGACGCGGATATAGATGGACAGGCTACCGGCGGTATCTCCAGCATGAAGCTGCGGACGTGTCGGTACTTAAACTTATCTCAAGATCTGACTTCTCCTTGAAACCTTGCAAAACTGGATCCCCACATGCCGTTCAAGTTTTCTCTTGCATCCCTGGTCACTTGATCCTTCTGGTGAGTTGTGCCGTGGGCGGCTTTGCTGTACCGCTCCTTAAGCCGTAAAGCCGAGCTTTCTTCTCCGTCCAAATACCCACATCCGCAACCATATTCGCAATACGAATAAATGAACGCCAGCTCCGATGTCGCGGCTTTACCTGTGCAATGAGCAGCATCGAGTCTCAACCACGCCCGATGCGGAGTGTGACTGGTGAGGCTGATAGTGAGTCGTTCGTGCATCAAGCAATCGGAGCAATACCGGCGTCGCGATAGGCGGATACTCCAGGGGCTAGCAGTGCTGGATACTGCAGGCCTAAGTGTACCGCGCGCCCTACCACACGATGCCCTGCAGGAACATCCTCCGATTTGCTCGGCCTTTGAATAGAAATTTCGTCATGGCTAAGGGATATCCAATGTGCTAGATGGCCTTTCGAAGGCGAATTGCATGTGTGGGAGTATCAATTGTGGTTCCTAGCCACCTTGAACCGAACTAAAATCGTAAAGCCGCGGTAGAGGGGGCCACAGCAACGTCTTTCTTTGTTGAACACCGCCATTGATGCAAGACAGACTAGTCTCCTAAGGCCCGTGGTGCTCCGTCTTCCGTCTTGCTAGTCTGGACTCCTCCGCGTGACGAGGAGGTGTGACTCTTGAGAAAACTTTCTCTGCTTTAAGAACGACCTTCCCCGTCTCTTCCCTTCAACTTCAAAGTAAATTGGCACCTGTTCTTATACCCTGGAAGAAATTCGACCTAAAATTCGCCATGTCGCCTATCGCTCTCACACCTCCCAACGACGGTGAAACTGTCACCGACCTCACTAGCTCTGGCATTCAGCATGCTCTTGGGAAGTCTGCCCCTTCGCAGCTGAAGTCTGCATCTCTCACAAACACAATCACCGCTACACCACCACCGGAGCGGGAATCAAAGACTCACACTGTGGAGTCGCCCTTGGCTGAGCTCGACGCCTCCCAAGTAGAATGCACATACACCGACGCCCCCCGTTCCGTCCCTGCCCTAGGCTCGGTGGAGATGGCTTCCCAGAAAGTTTGCACCGACCACATGATCCAGGCCAAGTGGACTGTTGAATCGGGCTGGGCTGCACCAACTCTCCAACCCTACGGCCCTATCTCTCTGGCACCCACGGCATCATGTCTGCACTACGCGACTGAGTGCTTCGAGGGAATGAAGCTTTACCGTGGCCACGATGGAAAGCTTCGCCTGTTCCGCCCAGACTTAAATTGTAATCGCATGCTAATGTCCACAAACCGTATCGCTCTGCCCGGTTTCCCACCCAAGGAGCTCCTCAAGCTGATCATCAAGCTCTGCGAGACCGATGGTGCCAAGTGGCTCCCTAAGGACCGCCCTGGAAGCTTCCTGTACATTCGTCCCACAATGATCGCCTCAGACCCGGCTCTTGGTGTCGAGCGACCTAAGGAGGCTCTTCTCTTCGTTATTCTGTGCTGCTTCGCGCCCATGGGCGACATGTCCGGTGGAATCAAGCTCCTCGCGTCTCAGGACGATATGTGCCGTGCCTGGCCTGGAGGTTTCGGATACGCTAAGGTCGGTGCGAACTACGGTCCCTCCCTCGTTGCACAGGGCGAAGCGAGATCGAGAGGATATCATCAGATTCTCTGGCTGTTCGGTGAAGATTGCACCGTGACTGAGGCGGGTGCTAGCAACTTCTTCGTCGTCTGGCGCACAAAGGAGGGCAAGCTGCAGCTCATTACTGCCGACCTGAACGAGCGTATCGTTCTCGATGGTGTGACTCGCCGGTCCATCCTCGAGCTTGCACGCACCAAGCTTGCATCCGGGCACGAGGGTCTTGAGGCTGTCGAGGTCGTCGAACGCAAGTTCAATATCTTCGAACTCCAGGAGGCTGCCAAGGACGGCCGTCTCGTAGAGGCTTTCGCTGCTGGCACCGCTTGGTTCGTCACTCCAATCAGCCAAATTCACTTCCGCGGCAACGATATTGACATTCCCATGTCCAAGGGGCAGGTCGGTGCTTACGCCGATGTTGTCAGGACATGGTTGAAGGGCATCATGTGGGGAAGTGACGGCATGGAGAGGCACGAGTGGGGTCACGTTGTTAACGAGCAGTAGAGTGCTTGCTGCGCAGCATGTGTTTCGCTCTGCGACATTATTATAGACAAAATGGCGCGGATGTCTCAAGATACCGGCGGATCAAAAGCCTTGTGTAACGAGTTTTTGCATATAGCATGGCGTTCATGTTTCGCCTCCAGGAAATATACGAATCTTGGGGAACCACTTCTTCACGAATCACTTTGCAACATTGCTCAAGCGTGATCTCACTATCTACACCGCTCAAGTCGGCGCTTAATTTCCTCTTTCCAATACCATCGAGACTTTGCGAATAGTGCCAGTAGCCAATGGGCGCTCCGTGATATGATATCCAAGCTCTGATTACCTCATCCGTGAATTTGCGGCGAACGTACCTCGGAGGTTTCGTCATCCATCATCAATCGACACTCACACAACTCACAATGTTCTCGAGACGTGCCATTCCTCAGGTATGTGTCCAAACCGCGCCACACAATTACGACACGTACAACAAACTGACATTTCCTAAGGCTTTCCGCGCCGCCACCCGCGCACCCTCCATCCGTGCCGCCCCCAGCGCACGCTTCCTCGCACCTTTACAGATCCGATGCCTTTCCGACGAAGTTCGCGGCGCGATCGATCGCGCAGTCGCCTCATCTCCCGTCGTACTGTTCATGAAGGGAACCCCAGAGACACCACAGTGCGGGTTCTCAAGAGCGAGCATACAGATTCTGGGCATGCAGGGTGTAGACCCGGACAAGTTCACGGCGTTCAACGTACTTGAGGATCAGGAACTGAGAGCAGGTGTGTAATCTGCGGCTTCTTAGCTGCCCAAACCAAGGGCTGTGAGGGAATGGTTTGAGCAATGGCAGCTGACAAATCGCACAGGAATTAAGGAGTACTCGGAGTGGCCTACGATACCTCAGCTCTATGTCGATAAGGAATTCATTGGCGGTTGCGACATACTCATGACTATGCATCAGGATGGTTCGCTGGCAAAGATGCTGGAGGAGAAAGGTGTTGTTGTGCCTGCCGAGGGCGAGCAGAAGTAAGGCTTGTGTAGGATGACAACAGGTCTTCGGAGAAGGGCGAACTTAATGATTGTACTATACAGCTTGGGTGCCCGTTCTGGTCTTGCGGCAGCTTGGGCGGTGTATCATGAATGTACAAATACTTTGATTGCCTTCAGTCATACAGGCACGCACTTGACGACACGAGCAGTGAGACAGGTGTTGCCTGTTTGAGCGTTCTTTGATTCCAACCGCTCCTTCCTCACTTGCCTGGCGGGATTGTTTATCCTCGCGCACCCACACTTCACCTCACCATCACCAACACACCCCACCATTTAACAAGCAATGGATGGCCGTAAGACCGCCACCGCTATGCAGCCACGGAACCGGGATGCCTTCAAGACACCGAATCTCAGCAAGCCTCCCTCAAAGGTGGTCGCAGTCTCTACGACTACAGTGTTCAAAAAGCAGAAGCTTGACAGACCGCAGCTGCAATGCACCTCTCGCAGTCCGCAGCGCTCAACCGTGAGAAAGACGAGACGGAAGACCCATGTGGAAGAAGTGCATCCGCTCGCATTGGCGTTCAGAGGTACTTCATAGCCTCATTTCACGCCGGCTTTCTGCTGACAAGTTCCAGAGACTAGTGAAGAGTACCGACGCCACCTCTTTGCGAATGCTGCGACCAAGATCGACGAAGACCTCGAGATGCTACTCAACAAGCTGTATGAAAGAAACCTCCAGGACGCCTCCTCGAACCCTGCCAACAACGATTCACATGGCTCGCCTCTCATGCTCACCATTCCCGCCCAGTATCAGCGTCTCGTTCAAAAACTTTGCAACCCTCTCTCCGGTCACCGATATTCACTTCAACGGGCAAACTCCTTGGGCGAGATGGAGGATGTACAGATCACTGTGCATGACCGCTTCCAGTCGTTCGAAGAAAACGTACAAGCCGAGACGAAGGTAATCAAAAATCTGCAGCGTCAGTGGGAAGGCGTGGTGGCTGAGATCTTCTCACTGGGTGTCGCTTGTCTAGGCGAAGACACCATAGCCACTGTACTCTCAACCGCCGAACCTGATGCAGATGATGCTGAGCCGACTCTGTTTGTTCCGGAACACAAAAGCTCGGCAAACAAAGGTAAAGCGAAGATGAAACGCGTGTCATTCGCGGGTCCGGACATGGCGAACCTGTTCCCAGTATTTCTATTGCAGACGTCAGAACAACAAAAGCTGATACCTGCCACTCGCAACCTACCGATTGAAGAATTCCGTCAACTCGAGCAGGCAATCGCAGACATGGGCAAGCAGCATATAGCTGACCTACAGCGATTGGAGAGGGAGCATCAGGCGTGGTGGAAGAAGAAGCAGATCCAGCTTCAACACACCTTCATGCAAGACTAAGTAGCTAAGTGCTCTTCAAGTCGCTATATGCTGACGTCCGTAGTATATTGGCGGCGACCACTATGAGGACTCCTATCTTCAAGGCATATTTGTAACGGGAGGGTGAAACACGCATGCTATCTTACGCAATGTACGGTCTTTACAGCGGGCAATAAGGAGATCAATTCATATCGAAGGCTGCATCAAGTGTTCATACATAGTATTTGCTTCTCAATATCGTACTGATACAATCTAAACGACGATCAACCGAAGAAAAATCGACATTATCCTCCACAGCTCGCAAAAAAACAACGGTCTAGTTGATCTAGATGGATATCTAAACGTGTAATGAAACCCTCCGCAGTCCCTTTCTCAGCTCATGCTTGCACGCACTTAGTCGAAGGAGCTCTTGAAGACCCACCTCTGGTCTTCAGGCTGCTCGAATGGCACACCAAGCTCGAACAGAGTGACAACAGAGTTGGAGAAGTCCTTGAAGAAGGCATCGTTGTCCTTGGCGTACAGTTCAGCGTACTTCCTAAAGCTCTTGTCCTTGACAATCTCCATGTCGGTGGGCAGCATCATCAAGGTCTTGGTCTTGACATCCTCGAACTGCTTGGGGCCGTTCCACTTCTTGTACGCCCACTTCTCTTCCATCAGGAGCTTGAAGTAATCGTTGGTCAGGGTGGTGGGGCTGAATGTCCAGGGCCCGTCGAAGCCAGAGCGGTCAGTATGGCAGCGGCCCAGAGCGTGGGCGCCGGACAGCGCAACCATGGCGCGGTCGTCGAAGCCCATACGGCCGAAGATGGCACGGATGTGACTGCGGTCCTTGGAGGCGTCGGGCAGGCGACCGTCGGGTGTGCAGAAGGACAGGTCGCGGTCAGAACGGCCAGCGCGGTAGGGGATCTTAGGGCCCTGCATCTCTTGGATGGCGGCAACACCAGCAAGGATCCACAGGTCGGAGTAGGTGATCCAGGGGAAGGCCTCCTTGACAGGCTCGAGGAAATCGCGGGCAGCCTTCAGACCGGCGTTGGCGCCGTGGTCGCCCTCGGGAGCAAAGCGCATGGTGGCGCCGTTGGAACCGCCAGTGTTGGTCTCCTTGTCGTAGGTACCAGACGCGTGCCACGCCAGACGCAGCAACACGGGTCCGTAGCTGCCATCATCGTAGTCGTCGTGCTCCTGGAGCAGCTTGGCGATGTGGTTGTAGACCTCCTGGTAGTTCTCGAAGCGAGGGACGAAGGGAGCCTTGGGCTTGCCCTCGAGGCCTAGCAACTCGGGCTTGTACGTATAGGCAGCGTAGCCAACGGCACCGAGGAGCAGAGCACCTGCACCGACAAACATGCCAGTGGGGTTGCCCTCGTATTTGTCCTGGGGCTCCTCGTTGCCCGTGGCGTAGCCGCGTTGCCATTGCTTGCCACGGAAAGCATTCTGAGCTGGCGCGACAAAGCGGGCAGAGCGTGTAGTCGTGGCGCGAAGCGAAGGGGCGGCAGTGCGCAGAGCGCGGGAGAAGGTGCGCGAGGCGGAGGCCATCGTGGTATGCCTTCTCGAGAACAGTATTGAGGATCCTACTGTGTACTGTGAAATAGAGTGAACAGGCTGGAGTGTTCAATGGTAGCCAGACACAGAACTTGGGGTATCAAAGAAAGTGAGGATGAAGACGATCAAACGGAAAGAGCGCAGCGGCTTATAAGAGACAGGTTCTCCGAAGCAGCAAAGACGGCAACATCTTCTAGAAAACGCGATAAAGAAGGGCTCCACTATCGTGCCGGCCAGCCAATCAGCGCCGCTGCAATTGCTCACCGTCTGGACTGCAGTGATTACGGGATCCGAGATTGTGGCATCTGACAGGGAGAAAGATTTCATGTTTGACCGGTAAGAAATATCTGATTCGACATCATGTGTACGCGTAGAAGGGCTGTTTCGCCTTGTTTTGGGAGGGCATGCTCGCAGTTTTGTAGCTCCCAAACCCCCTCCAGTAAGGCCGCTCTCCACGCCGTCTCATTGGCTGGTTGCCGCTGGATCAACGCAGGGCTGGGCCCGGATGAGGGGTAACGAGGCTCTGCGGTTATGCCAGCCTTGACGTGCATCTTGCATGAGGGGCGAATTCATCTACAACGTTCATCTTGTTGCGTCTTATCTTCTCCTCTTCTTGTGGTCGCAATCCTGGAGCATGATGGTATCCACCTGATCCACCCTCGGTGACAAATCGGCTTTTAGATTTTGTCATCTCGTGCCGCCGAGACCTTCGCCGTGCCCACATGCCGTTGTCTCCCCGGTCGGCAAAGAGTGGGATCACAAGGTTCTCCAGAACCTGTGCCAGGCGGCATGTCACGAACTGAGACCAACTGGGCAATCTCACAGGCCCTGTTCAAGTTGCGAGTTTCAGCGAGTGCCCGCGTTCGTGAGCGAAGATGGATGGATGCCGATCACGCCGTCGGCTTGCCGAAGACTTGAGATAAAGTGTGAGCACCAGAATGTCAAGTAGATCGTGTAAGAAAGTATGTAATCATGTGGCCTGGCAGCCAGTCTGTAGGAACCACCCCACCCAATTACCAAGCCAGGTTAACCTGAGGCTTCAATCGTTTAAAGCCAAGTGACGCCATACATGCAATGCCCAGTCTGTGTGCGCCGAAGCTATGAACCTCCCAACTCCATGCCATATAATGCGGAACTAGGCCCGAGATAAACCCAACAATGGAAAGCAGAAACAGGGCCCAAAATCAATACGGAGGAGGGTGAGGATGTGAATGAGGATGATGCTGATGCTGATGCTGATGATGAGCATGGTAAGGATGGTGTGGATGATGTGGGGGCATAGCGAGGAAGGCCGGGATAGGGTGATGGTAAGGCTGCATGTTGCTCGGTGTCGAAGTGCCCGAGGCTGATGCAGACGCTGTGCCCAGTCGTGTCTCTGGCGTGGCTCGTCCCAATCTCAGCTCTGCGGCTTCCATCTCGAGCTTCGGCTTGAGCTGTTGCCAAGACGTGTTGTTGGGATCCTTGGGTATAGCCACAGCACGACGGTAAGAAGGGCAAGCTTCCATCTCTTTCAAGCCAATGGGTGGGTCGAGTTTTGAAGCTCTGTCCTCAAAGTAGACCTTACGCGCCGCCTTCTTGGCCTGATAGTCGCTGGCCTTGCTGTTGCGAGTTGCCTCTTCCCAGAGTTCCATCTTCCGTGCGAAAGCGCGACGCTCGTCGACCATGGCAAACTTCTGCGCCATGCGTGGGCGCAACTCGGCGGACCATGTGTCAGGATAGAGTTCAGCAGCGGCACGGACCTCGCACTGAAGTTTGTTCACTTCCGAAAGGAGGTAGATGGTCTTGAGAGAATGCGTGCTGGCCGGCCCGACACCGACAAAGTTCCCCCAAGAATCGAACACGCCAGAGGGCAGACATTTGCGGAGAAACGTAACATCTTCAATACCGACATCGCGCATGCTGATCAACGCGTCATGTTCCTTCACGGTCTTGGACTGTAGGCACGTCTTGCACCATCGTCGAAGGAAGGCCCAGTACGTCTTGCGGGTAGACGGCGCGCCACAGCTCATGCAGCCGTGGCCATGTCGAAGATGTGCGTACTGGAACTCATCCAGATCGGAAGGCGGCTCCGGCATGTCATCTCCGTAAAGGTTGGTCCGGCTGTGGACCCAAAGCATGGGATTGTTTCTCAAAAACCGATAACAAGACGGAATCTTCTGGCGCATCTCTAATAATTGCGCAGGGTCTGAGAACGTGAGGATGGTCCACCAGGTGTCCAGGTCAAACCCTTTTTCCAATACTTTGCCCTTCCTGAATCTGGTCGGCTTGACCTGCTTTAATTTCTGAGTGATGAGGGGCTGAGTAGCCTCTCGCATAGCCGCTAGCGCAGCCTGTGCATTTGCTGGTGCCGACGTGAGAAAGTCGGCGTGGTTTTGGAACTCCTCGCTCTTGCGTCCATCCCGCTTGCGCTTCTTGGTACCAGAAACGTTCGTCAGGGGAACAGAATGCGAGCGCACCTCCTTCAGCTCCTTGAACGCCCGCTTGCCACCCGGTTTCCGACAGTTAATAACGGTGCCATATGCCTGCGGCGGTGTCTGCGAGATTGGCGTCTGTTTGTTGACTTTGAAGGCGACATTCTTGACATTCACCATGGCTAATCAGCCTGCCTGGGACGGAGAACAGAGGGGGGCGTTGGCGGCGCGCTGTGGTATCCAGGAGCTGCGCTGCAGTAGTATCCAGGAGCTGCGCTGCAGTGGCATCCAGGTGGGCGAGTTTCCGGAGTTGAAGCTGAAAAGTGAGTGTAGAGGAGTTGACGACAGATGGGTAGAAAAGTCGGCGTTGAGGAGGAAGCAGCGCGCCTAGGCTCCTGAGTGCAAGCTCCGGAACCAGGGCCACCAGGCCAGACTCGCCGAGGCGGATGCAGCTCTACCGTGGCTACCTCCTACGTTCACTCGACCTGACACACGCGCCTCACCATCAGAGATGCGCTTCGTTAGGCGCAAATCGGCCCTTAATGAATCCTGCATAAATTCTTGCAAAATATATGCGCGCGCATCAACACAACTTGCGCCGAAGCCGCCCCAACAGAGTCGCCTAGCCTTCTTTCGATTGGGCTTCTGCGCCACAGCCGGAGTCGATCACAGTAGCATCCGATGGAACGCCAAGCTGCCCTTCCTCGTCATGCCGATGGCACCGAACCAATTGACGAGTTTTGGCTGCCGTCCTCGGCGCTTCGGCTTTTGACGCGGGTTAACACAACTGCGCGCGCTGGGCGAACGTCAGCACTGCGCTATGCACGTACGGATACACGGGGTGTTTCGCCAGCCACGCTGGGGAAGGTCATTGCAGCTGCCTTTTCGGGAAATGTGTGGGACTACGTTCGTCCAGTTGTGCAAGCCATTGATCCACATTTTCGCGGGGTTAGCGAGGTGACCTTGATGGCAATCCAGCGACGTCGGCCGTAGTAAGCGAGTAGGTAGGACGACCACCAGCCATTTAAATTTCCTGCATGTACATAGTGAGTCCTCCGTCTCTCATCTCACAAGCACAGCTGCGCGCGTGGTACGGCAGTGATTGCTGCAGAAGCGTAGTGTGACCGATCGCGTGGTCTAGAGACCCCAGAACAGCAAGGGATCAACACGTCGAATCAACGACCTTTCAGTCACACCGACGACAGCCGGATCCGCTCAAGATGTTTTCCAAGAAAGACAGTAAGTCAAGCTTCCACGACTTTGCCATCGTGAGCGCTCTATAGGTTCGATTGATGCTTGCATGGTCTTGTAGTCTACAAGCTCCGCCGGCCTGTGCTAGCGTCCATGGCGTTCTAGCTACAGATCAGCGCACCAGCTTCATTGCTCGGGAGCACCGGCTAACGTTGCACAGCGGACGTTCAGCCGTCTCCAGACTTTGCTGAACAGAAGACCGCACCTCACTATGATGGCAACTACGCTGAAGAGGCTCCAGAGCTCGTTCAGTGCCCTCCCCACACAACCGAGGCCAAGCTGCTCAGGCGAATTGACCTCCACGTCATTCCATTCCTCTGCATTATGTACTTGTTGGCCTTCTTGGACCGGTATGTCTGCGATAAACCATGCGGAGTATACAAGCTGACAATGAAACGACAGTGTCAACATAGCTAACGCCAATGTTTTCGGTCTCTCCAAGGAGCTGGAACTGACCGGCAACAAGTACAACATCGCTCTGGTCATCTTCTTCGTGCCGTATATCCTCTTTGAGATCCCGTCCAACGTCATTCTCAAGAAGCTCACGCCGAGTGTCTGGCTCTCGCTGTGTATGTTCGGCTTCGGGCTCGTTACAATGCTCCAGGGCTTCGTTCAGAACTACCACGGACTCCTCGCAACACGTTTCTTTCTGGGCGTCTTCGAGACGGGAATGTTCCCAGGCGCGTTCTACCTCATTGGCATGTGGTATCGCCGTCAGGAAGCTCAGAAGCGCTACTCGTTCTTCTTCTCGTCGACGACGCTTGCGGGCGCCTTCGGAGGCCTGCTCGCTAGTGCCATTGGCAAGATGGACGGAGTGCGAGGCTATCTGGGCTGGCGATGGATCTTCATCCTCGAAGGTCTCTTGACCATTATTGTCTCGTTCTTCCTCTTCTTCCTGCTGCCAAACTTTCCAGAGGAGTCGAAATGGCTCACCGAAGATGAGCGCGCTTTCGTCAAGGCCCGTCTGCAGATCGACCAGGGCAAGTCTGCTCGCGACCGAAAGATGTCAATCGGTGACGTGGGCCGCGTCTTCAAGGACCCAAAGATCATCATCGGCGGCTTCATGTACTTTGGCCTGATCGTGCCTGCCTACGGTTACGCGTACTTCTCGCCGCAGATCATCCAGTCGTACGGCTACAGCCCTATCCAGACGCAGCTGCACAGCGTGCCTCCGTGGGCGGCAGCGTTCGGCTTCTCGATGCTGATTGCATGGTGCTCTGACAAGGTCAGACATCGCTTCGCCTTCACGATTTTCCCCATCTGTGTCTGCATCGCCGGCTTCGCGATCCTGATCTCAGTGCACAACAATCCGAACCTTCAGTACGCGGCATTGTTCCTGGTTGCTATGGGCGCATACACCGCAATGCCTGTCATTGTTTGCTGGGTGAGTTCCTCATGTCCGCCGTGTGACTAGCTTCAGACTAATAGGCTACAGTTCAACATGAACCTGGGAGGTCACCACCGCCGCTCTGTTGGGTCTGCGTGGCAGGTGGGTTTCGGCAACATCGGAGGAATCATTGCGACATTCGCGTTCCTCAAGAAAGACGCCCCCAAGTACATTCCGGGATACTCGATTTCCATTGCGTTTGTGTGTCTGAGCGCGCTGAGCTGCTGTGTGTACTTTGTCGCATGCTCGTGGCAGAACAGGTCGCGGAACAGGGCTGTCCGCGATGTGGGGTTGACAGAGTATGAGAAGACGGAGCTGGGCGACATGAGCCCAGACTACAGGTATCAGCTGTAGTAGAAGAGAAGGGTTCCAATCGCGGTATAGCGCAATGAAATTCGTTGAGAAGCAGATGCAGCTGCCATTGTTGTTTACTGAAGAGTGGACATGTGATGTCGCGCTCGCGCGCCCCCACGACCACCGGTCGACACGTGTCGAACCGCAAGCTCCAGCACGAACAACAACACAACCCAACGACCAGCCATGTCCCGCCCTCGCACAAAGGCCTCGAAGACGCTCGTACCTTGATATACACAAGCCACTCGATCAAATCGCATCAAAACAACCACAGCTGCCACCGAGCGCTGCAATGGCACCCCCGCCGAGCACCCTCTACACGCCGACCCTCGTCCTCGCGCTCCTCGTCGCCCTCTGCGTAGCTGCGTCGCTCCGCCTCATCGCCATCCTGCCCAGCGCGCGACGACGCACTCCGCATCCGCGCACTCGGCCCGCTCGCGCGCGCATCCTGGTCGTGCTGGGCTCGGGCGGGCACACGCACGAGATGCTCGCGCTGCTGCGCGGCCTGGATGCGCGCAAGTACACGCACAGGACGTACGTGGTGAGCAGCGGGGACGCGTTTAGCGCGGCGCGCGCGGAGGCATTTGAGCGGGGGCTTGCTGCGAACGTGGCTACGCAGGCGCAGACGCAGACGCAGACGCAGACGCAGGACGCACAGCGGACGTGCTGCGTGGGGCCACAGTTCTACAGCGTAGTCGCGATCCCGCGCGCGCGACGCGTGCATCAGCCGCTCTACTCGACGCCGCTTTCCGCGCTGCAGACGCTGGCAGCGGCGTTTGGACCGCTGCTCTCGCGGCCCAGCGCGGGCGTCGAGCTGCCGCACCTGATTGTCACCAACGGCCCCGCGACGGCGGTGGTGGTGGTGCTCGCGGCGATGGTGCTGCGGTTCTTCGACGTGCGCGGGGCGCAGAGCAGGGGGCTGTGTCGCACCGTGTACGTGGAGAGCTTTGCGCGGGTCAAGACGCTGAGCCTGAGCGGGCGGCTGTTGGTCCGGGTCGTGGATCGGTTTGTGGTGCAGTGGGAGGCGCTGGAGGGGTATGCGGGGCGGGCCGAGTACGGGGGGATACTGGTGTGAAGGCGTTGATGTGTGTGAGATATCCGGTGCAATGGAGTGATGCAAACCTGAGTCGTCCTCACAACTTGTGCTGCCCTCGCGCTGCCACCGTACTGTTGATGTGAGTGAGAGGCGGTTGATGTGAGTGAGAGGCGGTT